AGCATGCTTCAAGGTCAACCAGGGAGCTTGTTACCAATGCTGATTGCTGGGCCTACCCCAGAGAGCCTGATTCTGAAGTTCAGGTGTGGGGCTCTGGGATGGCACCATTGAAAAATACACTAGGAGGCTGGCCAAGTGGCACATTGGTTAGGAGTTGGCTTGGGACGCCAGCTCTGAGCAGCAGGGCCCCAGTTCGGATCCCACATATGAGGGCCAGAGATGCTGCGCCCTCTACAGCTAAAATGGTGAACAACAGCTCAACCTGGAGCTGGGCTGCCGTGAGTCACCAGCGATTGCGTAGGCTGCAGCCACTGCTGCAGTGGGTTGCCATGAGCTACCATGAGCCATCGTGTGCGGTTATCCAATGGCAGGCAACTGATCTGCCTCAGCTGGGAAGAGCACAATGATAATACCAACATGGGCCAGTGAAGCGACGTCCTCCACAACTAGACTGAAGAACAAAAAAGGACAGCAACTTGTCTGTTCCCCTTTTCCTATTCCCCAATGCTGTTCCCCTCCCCCCAATTCCCCAATAAAATCTTTAAAAAGAAAAAAAGAAAAGTACCCTAGGAGATTCCAGTGGCATCTCCCACTTAGACAAGCAACATCCTAGGCCCACAGTACATGCTGGGTCCATGATGAGTGGGGATTGTGTTTTCACAGGATGCCATTTTCAATCAGTGACAGGGTTCAAAGTGATGGCTCCAGGTTAAGTACAATATCCCTTGATTAAACAGATTTCCTTAACAAGTTAGGAATTTTTTGTAATGTAGCTTTTGGTTGTTAAAAAATGTTAAAAAATATAAAACCCCACACACGATGATATTATTTTAAAAATAAGAGTGATAACAAAGTATGGAGGTTAGGGTCACACTGCCTTCTTGTTTGGAGGCTTGGTTTAAAGTGGGACCTTGGACAGTGGAGTATAAAGGTCATTTCTTGGGAGCAGCTCTCTGTCCCTGGGCTCTGGAAGGGAACTCCCCACACAACGTCCAGAGTTGCAGACCCAGTTACCTGCACTGTTGCCACAGCTCCGTGCCTCCTCTGAAATGCCAAGTTAGTGGAAAATTACATAATGGAACCATGAGCTAAAATAACTTGCCATATTTTGGATAATGTCTATAAGAAGCTGACTATTTAGATATTCAAAATCTGAGGGAAAAAAGGAAATCTTCTTAATCTTTTCAAGCTCTGATTCCTACTCAAAATAATGGTTTAAGTAACAAAAGCTAACCTTTATCTGGTCCTTAGGCATCAAGAAGAGAGTTTTACACCTGTAGGGTCTCATTTTAGTCCCACAACAACCCTAAAGTAGGTACTATTATTATTCCCATTTTAAGGATGAAAAGGAGGTTGAGAAGCTTGTCCAGCTGGTTCGAGGCACCATCAGGAAATGAACAAAGGTTTCTGAGCCCTAACTCCAAGTGTCGGGGTGGTAAAATGTCATACACTAGCGAGGTGCTGGTCCTCAGAGAGCACACAGCCCAGATAGAGCCGTTTCTAACCCCACTCAGGTCCCAAATAAACTTAGGGTACAATTAACAGTGAGCAGGATCCAGTGTTCTTCAAAATTCTGCCTTCTCACTTCACAGAGTACTTAAGTCCTCGCTGAAAGAGAACCTGTTGTCCTTCGTGGCTGCCCCCAAATTCCAAGGGCTGGTAGTTTCATTCCTTCAGAATTCACCACCAGACCGCATCACCTGGGGATCCCAAAAAGCTTCCCTGGCCCTGCGTTCCCATGTGCACAACAAGGAGATAGCCTGTGCTGGTGCTTTAATAAAACTTTTCTTTCCAGGTTTAATGAAAGAGTGATGAAGTCACAATGGCTCTAAGGAATCTGATGAGAGCCAGCCTGGGGAACCTGATCTTGCCAAGGCTCACAAGGTCAAAGGATAGGATGCAGTACCTCCCCCACCCCCGGCCTGAGCTAAGCAGAGCAAGGAGGGTATACTGAGCTCCACTAAGAGGAATCAAGAGCCGGACCCTGCTGTGGAGAGGAGCATAAGCAGAGGTTACTTGCGGCTGCGTGGGTGGGAGTGAAGGTGACGTTTAACCCCACAATGGTCCGGCGAGACCACGGCTACAGAACACTGGTAGAAATGGCCAGATGTCACAGAAGGGGAAGAAAGACACCAAGGAGAAAGGCGTAATGAATCACAGCTTCAAGAATCCGTTCAGAATTGGTCTAGATCAGTGGTTCCCATACTTGATTGATCTCCTTGAATACCCAAGGAGCTTGTTAGAAACACAGATTCCAGGGGGCTGGCCGAGTGGCTCAGTTGGTTAACAACATGAGCTCTGAGCAACAGGGTCGCCAGTTTGATTCCCACATGGGCCAGCGAACTGCGCCCGAGCTGAGCTACCGCTCAGCTGCCAACAGGTGGCAGGATGGCTCAGCTGGTGAGAGCACATGCTCTTAACAACAAGGTTGTCAGTTCGACTCCCGCATGGGATGGTAGGCTATGCCCACCGACAGCTAAGATTAAACACATCAGTTGAGCTGAGCCGCTGAGAGCTGCTGACGGGTGGCCGGTTGGTGCCTGGGCTTGGAGCTGAGCTAGCTGTGCCCTCCACAACTAGATTGAAGGACACCAACTTGGCTGTTCCCCTTCCCTACTTCCCCAATAAAATCTTTAAAAAAATAAAAAATAAGTAAAATTAAATTAAAAACCCACAGATTCTTGATCCTCTACCACCACTCCAGCTCCAATTCAGCAGAACCGGAATCTAGAGTTGAAGTCTGGGAAGATGCATTTAAAACAACTGCTTCGTGGGCCAGCCGAGTGGCGCGTTGGTTAAGAGGTGGCTTGGGATGCCAGCTCTGAGCAGCAGGGCCCTGGTTCGAATCCCACATGAGGGCCAGTGACACTGCCCTCTACAGCTAAGATGGTGAACAATAGCTCGAACTGGAGCTGGGCTGCCGTGAGTTGCTGGCGATGGCGTAGGCTGCAACCCCTGCTGCAGTGGGCTGCCACGAGCTACTGTGTGTGGCTGGCAGCCAGTATGAGCTGCTAAGAGCCGCCATGAGCAGCCGTCCAGAGGCCGGCGACTGACTGCCTCAGCCAGGAAGAGTGCAATGATCACAATACCAACATGGGCCAGTGAAGTGACGTCTTCCACAACTAGGCTGAAGAACAAAAGGACAGCAACTTGTCTGTTCCCCTCCCCCAATTCCCCAATAAAAATCTTTAAAAAAAAAAAGCACAAAAATAAATAAATAAATAAAAAATAAAACAATTGCTTCATTAACTTTCATATTCATCAGTCTTAGGCAACTCAGTTTCAGTAATATGAGACCAGGTTGAGGTTATAAAACAAAGGACCCCAGAAAGGTCTAAATATCTTACAGGCTTCTTTAGCTCATACATCTACCTCTGGCAATTTTAGGGTCATTTTGAAAATCCTGGCCCACTTGAAGAGATACAGATCATATTTTTGTTGTGTTATTTCTATTTTGTTTTTCCTTCAGGCACAGTAGATCCAGTAACATTTAACTCCGTTCCAATGCAAAATCCTGTAGGACTGAAAGGGTTACCACGCCCTTTGTCAGTGTTTGAGAGGGTGCTTGGTCCTCAATGCCATACTCAGAACTGCCTGGGGACTTGGTAAGATGCCTGCTGCAGGGGGCAATGGAGATGCTGCATTGGTAACACTATCACACATTAAAAAAAAAAATTCAGATGAACAATGAATAATTTTTTTTACATATCACACAATTTGCCATTTTTACCATTTTAAAGTGTACAATTCAGTGGCGTTTAGTACATTCACAATGTTATTATCACCATCAGGACTATCTAGCCCTGGAACATTTCATCACCCTACAAGGAAATCCAGTCACGTCTCATTCCTCCTTTACCCAGTTCCTCTGCTTTCTGTTTCTGTGGTTTCCCCATTCTGGATATTTCATATATCAATAAATTGAATCATACAATATATGACCATTTGTGTCTGGCTAGCAATTCCACTCCTTGGTATATACCCAAAAGAAATGAAAACAAGTGTTCAAACAAAAACTTGTACATGAACGTTCACAGCGGTATTACTGACAATAGCAGATAGTGGGCAAATCCAAATGTCTATCTACTGATGAATGGAAAAACCAAATGTGGTCTATACATACAATGGGGTATTACTCAACCATAAAAAAAAGAATGAAATACTGATTATGCTACAACATGGCTGAAGCTCACAAACATGCTGACATGTGGCTGACAGAAACCAGCCACAAAAGACCATGATTCACTTATAGACACTATCTTATACATTTTAACATTTCACCCCATAATTCAAGATGCTGTTTTTAATGAAGCTGTTTGCAGACCAATGAATGATTTTGGACTGTCCCTTGGCAGTCCTGTTGTCTCTATCACTATAAAAAACCTAGGTCTTCTATAGCACAGTTGTACAGGAAAAAAAAGTGGGAGGAAGTTAGAAATCATATTTAAAGTAGAATCATATTAAAATCATATTCAGATAAATAATATATGGATAAAATATAAAATAACTTTTCCTGGGCCCAGGTAGAGTAATGCTAGATTAAGCTGGGGATGAGAAAGGAGAAAGGAATTTATAATATTACTTCAGAATTCTGCAATATGTTTTTTTCTTAACCAAAACAGATCACATTTTTATTTTGGATTACACTATCACAGTTAGCAAGGCACTTCCTAATTGTTTTTGTTCCGTGCATATTTGGAAGTTAAACATACCTAATTTGGTTTCATGCAAAAAGACAGCTGGAAACTCACAATTTAACCTTCCTCTATGGCGTCTTACCCTGATTAGCCTTAAACTGACAGGGAATTGGCAGTTTTTCAAAGTTTTCTTCTCCTTAAAACGCTAATAAGCCCTGACAGTACGGAGATCAGTGTCTCCATCTTTCCTTTTTCTTTTTCTTTTTCTTTGTAAGGCTCATTCCAGAGCCATCTCAAAGGCCACATTTTCATAAACGGATTCCAGCTCACGAGAACAGAGGTTGAAAGGGGTTCATGGCTTACCGCTTCCATCAGGCCCTTCACTGTGGGAGATTTCAACATCAAGGCATCAAACACATCATCGGTCTCCTTCCTCACGTACAAAAGCACTGAAAGACAAGGGGGCAGAAATCAGTGACTGAAGAGCCCACACAACCCCGCAGCTGCCACGGGAGACTGCTTCCTGTCACGCAGGAAGACTGACAATATCTACTAATAAGCCTTGGACCCCTGACCCAGACGACGTCCTACAACGGTGATGAAGCACCTCCACAGACAACCTGTGGCGAGGGACTGTGAAGGAGCAACTCAATGACATAAACTGACAGTTGGGTAGCACCTAATAGGCTGCAAAATGCTTTCACATGTTGTTCACATTTGAATTTCTCAAGGTGGGTATAGGATCTCTTTATGACATCTCTTTCAGTGACCTCTGTCTTCTATTTATTTATTTGATCATTCAACAAATATTACTGACTGCCTATCTGGGCCCCTGGGTCCCAGGCTGTGTGCTAGGAGCTGAGGTAGCAGCAATGAGTGAAGACACAGCCTACCCTTAAGAAGTGCATAGTCTGCTTAGAAAGGCAGGCATTCCTCAAATAAGCAGACAACTAGACAGAGTCATAAGAGCTATAAAGGAAAAAAATGGGAGAGTGCTTATAGGGGCCTGAGCTTTTCAGAGGCTGGGGAAGGTGGGGTTCCCAGGCTTCCTTGAAGGAGAGATCTGAGTTAAGAAGGGTGTACAGGCAAGGGAGGTGGGGAGGGCAGGGAGAAAGACAGGGCAGGGAGTGTGAAGTCTAGTAGACAGAGCAACATGTGCAAAGGCCTGGGAGGGAGACGGTGCATTTCAGAGGCATGTTGATAAGAGTGCGACAAGTCTGGCTTTGACCTCAGTTCAGCCTGCTGTGGGACCCTGGTCATTTGGTTTTCTCTGTAAAACAGGGGTAATCATACTATCTATCTCATAGGGCTGCTGTGAGGGTTAAATGAAATAACTTCCATGTGGGATGCTTAGCTCAGTGCCTGGTAGAGACCAGGCACCCACTCCTCAATCAGTGGATGCGATCATGAAGCAACTGCTGTGGTTCTAGTGCCCTCAGTGAAGGCGAATGCCGCTTTCAGTTCATTGCTCTGTAACATAACATTCTGAGTTTGACAATGCGCAGAAAAGGAGAGATGGCAGGGACCCCAGGTGTCATTAGAGAGGTGAAGACACTTCACTATGCACACCCTTCTTTATAGCAACTGCACTGGGGCCTAACTCCCAGGAAGAACTGGGCACTGCCATTCAGGCGTGATCTTCCAGCGCCAGTGAGCGGACTGCCCTTTCTCTCTCCCAGTGACATGGCTTCTGGTTCTCCCTTCAGAGGGAGGGAGGCGGGCCAAGGCTGAAGCCCCGTGCACGTGGCCACTACAGACAGCGTGCGCAGATCAAAAGGCCTGATGAGTGAGTCTGGATCCTGACTACAGTCAGATACCAACCGAGCTACAGTCACCACCAACCTGAAGGAATGAAGCCGGAGCTGGGAAATGAAATCAGCTCTAACCCCAACTCCCACATCTTCTCCCCCGCCTCTCCAAACCCCAAGGAATTCATTAAAGCGGCTGCTTTATAAAGGCAAAGTCGACTTGGGTGCAAATGGATTATGGCTGCATTTTGTTTCTGCAGCTGGCAGATGCTCAGGTTGCGTAACACACACACACACACACACACACACACACACACACAGAGAGACAAGTATTGCAGCTTCTTCTGTTTACCCAGTATAAAAACAAAATACCAGTTAAATAAATAGCTTGAATGTGTCTCCAAAGATTTCCAAATTTAGTCCTTTGAGGAGAGTGTTTTATAGCCTCCATTTCAGCTACAATGACCTAGTGACCTAATGGCATTATAAAGGGACTCAATGTTGAGAGTACTGTGAGGACAATTAAACCACAGGACCTCAATTACAACTACATCAGAATAATTAAAGTTAAAAAAAATAAATAACAAGCAAAGAACCCTCACTAGAGGCTGTTACCAATGGACATTCTGTAACTTCTCCCCACAGCCCTCGGCAGGAAAATGGAATTCCCAGCAGTCTGATCCTAAGGAAACCTCAAACCATGTCCTATTACAGAGTACTGATTCCATGGGGTTTATAAATATTCTTTTAAAATTATGGTCTTTGACATAGTATGGCTGCTACTCTAGCTGTGGGGGTCACTAGAAAGGGGTAAAGGTGGTATGGCGGCATGTTGACTGGCTGGGGGAGAAACCTCCACAAGGCAGTGCCACCATTCTCCTGCAGGGCTTGTTGGCAGCCACACACAGGCATGCCAGGCTCACAGCACAGCCCCACGGTGTGCTCAGGGAGTCGGCTTTCATTAACTATGTTTGTGGCTCAGCGCTCATAAGAATCACTCCACTACCCACAGCAACCAGTATCACTGCAGACAGCCTATAGACAAAGGCTGACAGCCATAGCGGCAGTGCCAAGTGACTCTGGGGGAGCCACCCTGAGAAGTGGCCACAAAGGCAAAACAACAAATGGCATTGGTGATAATTATGCTCATTTTGTCTCCTGGAGAACTTCTACTAAATAAACGATAGGGACCGTCACTGACCCTGCTGCCCCTTGCTTGTTAAAGACCAGCTCAGACTGGGAGCTCGAGGCAAGGGACTCAGAAACACCATTGTCTTTTTCCAAAGAAAAGCCACTCCTGGGAAAACGTTTTTCTCTAGTGCTGGTAGGTTGCAGCGCCCTCATGCGTCTCTCTGTGCTTGATCTTTCAAAGGCTATAGACTTGCTTTTCTTCACAGCCCAATACAATTCCTAGTGGCAATTTTTGTGCTGACTTCACAATCTCAAAATAATCTGAAAACCACAACCTTTGGGCTAGCCAGCGCACACAAAATATGGATGCAAGTTACAATTAATTTTGCTGTGCGATTCTTTGATTTCCACACAGCTCTGCTCTCATTTTAAAGTATGAGATACAAAGCCATGCAGGAATGGAGCTCAAAATGCACTCAAATATTTGATGGTGAGCCTGTGAAGTCAGAAAATCTTTTAAAGGTTTCAATGTTGCTAATGTAATTTACACTATTCAGACATTTATGACGTTTGCATTCTGAAACTCTACTTATTCACAATTATGATAATATACCTTAGGTAGATTTAGGCCTAATAATAAAACTGATAATTATTCTAGGGAACACAAGTGCTTACTATGTACCAAGCACTTGAGTTAAGTGTTTTACAATCACTCATCAGACTCTATTAAGCAGGTACTCTTGTCATCCCCATTTTACAGATGAGGACTCTAAGGAGCAGATGACCTTCCCAAGGTCATTCAACTCTGCATGGCTGAGGGAGGCTACGGAGGTGATCTCTTGATCATTATGCAAATCCCATTTCAACAAAAAATAAAATTTCTCAATAACAAAAATCTCAAGCCTATGCAGACGGGGAATATATTTAACCTGGTAACCTGATTCATTGAAAGTCTAGTGCTGTATAAATGAAAGATCTCTGTAAGCTTTCGGTGTTGGCTACAGCAGGACTGGGGGGAGCTGCCACCCCCCACACTTTTCTCTTATTCTGAGGAAGGACAGTGGGTCGTGTACATCATCCAATGTTGAGCAAGACACTGACATGCTTACACTTCATTTCTTACTCTCTTGGTGCTGTGGAATAAGACCCCTGACTGAGAGAAAATGAGTCAATTGTGATGTCACAGAAAGCAGATTCATGTATTTGTATGAGATTAATCGCGTGCCTCTACTGAACGAGTCTCAATTGCTGGTGCTCATGAGATGTTATTGTCACACACACGGCAAGAAAGAAATGGCAAGAGTTTCTTTTTAACCTTATATCTTACTGCTGGATGAGTCAGTCTATTCATTACGTTTCTCCCAAGGCAAAGGAAAGAACCAGTGGCCAGAAAGGATAAATGTTTGCTAACAGTGTTTTAAAAGACAGGGTTTAAAGTAAAGAAGATTGTGAACTTCCTGTGTCCATACAAATCCCCAGGCCACCACTAAAGCATCAGGGCTAGCCTGGGCTGTGTGCCCTTCTTGGTGAAACACCCCCTAACACTCTGGGGGGAGGATGGGTTACTTCAGCCACGCAAGTGGCGCGCCCAGCGGGAAATACCTCGCTTCATCCCCTCTTCTTTCATCTGCTTGGAAGGTGCTGGGCCGAACTCCTCTTCCATGGGCCTGAACATCCGTTTAACAAGGACACTGCTGCTAGAAAAGATAAGCAGAAATTACTAAGTAAAGCAGGCAGGGTGCCAAAAACCAAGGTTCATGTATGCATCAATCCCTATCTTTTTCCTTCATTTATACCATCCTGGTTCTCCACAACTGGACCCACTCAGCAACCTCCTTCTGACCCCGTGCAGGTCCCAAGTCATCCCTGTGTGAGGAAAACACACAGTATCTTCAGAGCATGGACCTGAAGAAATCCTCCCCATTGCTGAATATGGACCCACAAAGGCCAGACCTCTGGGTTTTACTCACTCTGTCTTCCATCTAACTAATCCTTCTTCCTACTCAGAAGATGAGGTGCAGGAAGTAGAGGAGTGAGCCCTGGTGTCTGTGTGACCTCCCAATTACCTCAGCCGCCTCTCATCTAGCTAAGGCCTGGGAGTCCAGCACTCTCTTGCCAGCCACCTGAGGGCACAGTGGGGACCTGTGGAAATAGTTCGGGCCTTCCTCATTGGTTCTCAGGTACGAGGCTGCCCGGACTTCCTGCTGTTCTACAGCTCTATATGGTTGGAGCAGATGAGACTGTAGGGGTGGAAGTTCCCTAGAGACCCAGACCCCAGCTGCCCAGCCTTGCCTTCCCCTTGGTAAAGGGTTTCAATGCCCCTTCTTGGGAGCCCATGACGCGGAGGCCCTGCATGTCCCCAACTGGGCCAGTTCTGATGGTTCTGCATTTCCTCCCAAAGTTCCAGTTGTTTCTAAGGACAGGTAGAACTGTTCAAGAGGAATAAAAATTGGAAAAATAGACTGTCTTTGGAGAAAAGTCATTGATGCTGAGTGTTATGGCCTCTGTAAGCAGTCAGGGCAAGGAGCAGTCTTACCCCAATCTCAGCAATGGTCAAACAAAGGCTCAGTGTGCTAAGTGTCTTCTGCAGGGTGATGCAACTAGTAAGTGAAGCAGGCTGTTCAGAAATTTTGTGGGACAACCTCATGAGAAAGATACTCGCTAAATCTGAGATGATGATGAGGGTATAAGAAACAACATTAAGAGGCAGCATTCTCTTACTTTAATCCCTAGTATGTCAAACTATGTAAATAACTAGAGGGAAAACTCAAACCAAAGTCCCAGGTGAAGGTGGTACTAAGTTTTTTGGTCACTATCACCTCTGTCTTCCCCTCGCTACTTTATCATAAAAGGAGGTCATGTTATTCTGTCATGTCTTGGAACTAGAGTGACCATGACCTTAGGAGCAGAAGATGAAAAATCCATTCACACAGCTGTCAGTGACCAGTAGGTTAATAACGGGTAAATAGCCTGAAATATCACCAGACAGTCTCATGCTGTGTGAGGGCTCCTAAATCAGTGATTTTCTTTTTCTCACCAAGCAACTTTTATTTACATTTTTCCAGCTCTGTTGACTTTTGACAGCACCCCATTCTGAGCCATGACAAACTCTGCCATTAAAATAACATCTTGACTCCCAGTAGGGAGTCAATAAGTTTGTGTGGTCTTAATTCAACTGTTAACATTTATTTTCAAAATGAGTCCAGAAAGGAGGGGCAGCTATGACTGCCCCGACTGGCAGATGAAAACAGCATGAATTTCAGGTCTCCTGATGCCTTGTCCAATTAATTTAATTGTACCAGAAACGAACTAGAGAACAAGGAGAAGGCGCTTTCTCAATATGGCTCTCCACCCCCCTGGCACAATGTGTGACAATACGGGTATGTGGAGTGACTCCAGGCCCAGCAGCCCATGAAACCATGACCTTGCGGGATCAATCTCAGGGAAAGCAAGGGCCTGAAGTGGAAACAAAGAGCTGCTAAGTTTCATCAGAAAGAAAACCTGGGAAAGTGTTCAGGTCTGAAGCCTGGGTCTCTGGCCACATCAGGAACGGCAATGCCGCGCCATCTCCCAGGCTGAACTGCACGAGGCACTAGTGCCGAGGGAGAAGGTGCCAAACTAAGGTGCAGAAAAAAGCTGCAGGCACCGTGGAGAGGTATTGGGTTGTCGGAAAAGTCATGATGTATTTTTTTCGACGTTTTTTGTTGCAAAAATGCGTCATGAGTTTTCTGACAACCCAATAGTTTATCTCTCACAACTCTGCTGATGGCTTATGTAGGCTAATTACCATGTATGTCCTAAATAAACTGAGATTCCTCCCCCATGTCTGCCTCAGAAAAGAGGAGGTCCTCTTATATGCAAGTCTTCACAAAGTCTCTCGCTTCATGGAGTAGGATCTCAATTAATTTCTTTCTAACAACAAATTGCTCTTTAGGGGAAGAACCCACCATCCCCAAATGGCTTTAATCAATACAGTTTGGGGTATTGATAGAATTCATCATTAAAAAACAAACAAACAAAAACCCAACCAAAAAACAAAACTCACACATAGATTTAGTAATGATTACTATCAAGAGCTCAAAATTGCAAGTCACAAATGACTAGGTCTGTAGGCCCCAGAAAGATGATTTTAAGAGGAAATACAGATATTTTTATTTCCGGCTAAGATGTTGTAGCTTGTGGTAAACCAATGTTCCAGACAGGAACGATGTGAAAAAATGTATGAATTAAAAACAAAAAAAACAAAAAACTCATTGAAGATATTTGGAGACTGTTGAAGAGTCAGCCAGAACTTGAGGCGTTGAAATGACAGAAAAGAGAATTGCAGAAAGATGAACTAATAATCAGTGAACCACTTTTCCTCTCAAAGCATTTGCCAATTCTTGACTGGCAGTAGAGGTAGATAATTCCACAGAGGCACGTACTCAAGGGCAAAAAGCTTTACACAGGTTTGGGCAATCTCATGGTGCTAGAGAAAGAGAAAATGGTGTTTAGGGCTACAAAGGGGTCCAGGACTTAAGGCCAAACTTCCATAGCGGAGGGAAGCACAGAGAAGTGAGCCAGACACGCTGCGGTATTCCTTCCGAGGTATTTGTGAAATTCTTAAGCCGTACAGAACAAAAAAATGAGAGATTAAGCAGAAAGCCCTCATAGAGGAGGTTTTGGAGTCTCTCCATGCTAAGGAGACAAAAATAAGATTTCAGGCCCCACCAAGGAAGAAGGACCATAGAAAATCCCTCAGAGCTAAGTCCAGGACTTAGGATGAACTAGAGGTAGTCTAAGGCTAATACACACTGCAGCCCAGCTTTGGGTCAGTTCTGCCCCTGACTCGTGGTCATCTGCACTCACTCCAGAAGAAGGGGAAAACCTTCACAAGAGAAAAAGATGGTCATCCAGAGTCTCCATAATTATATCATCGTTTTTCATCATTCAATCAGTGTTTTATCAAATACACTAATAAACTAATAAACAGGACTAATACACAATAGACACAGACCCAGAGATAACACAGTTATAGCACAACTATTTGAGTTATAAGATTTTAAGTTAAAAACAATTGTGATTATTATGTTCATGTAAATAATAAGACATGTAAAAAATAAATATATCAATTAAGTGGAAATCCTAGAACTAAAAAGTGGAATAATTTAAATTAAGAAATCAATAGATGAGTTTAAAAGTAGAGCAGAAGAGAGAATTTGAAAGTTGGATCAATAGAAAATATCCAGATTGAAGCATGGTGAGCAAAGGGGAAATTTCAGAAAAGAACATAAAAAACATTGGAGCACAATAAAAAGGTTGACTATACATTTAAAGTCTAAAAGTAGTAGAAGGAGGAAAGAAGCTCTATTTGAAGAGGTAACAGCCAAGAATGTCCTAAAACTGATGAAAGATCAACCCACATGTTCAGTAAATGCTATAAAATACCAAGTGGGGGGGAAAATGCAAATAAAACCCAGATATAGGAACATATAGTAAAAAATCTGAAAACCTAAGAGAAAGACAAATTTTTGAAAGCAGCCTCTCCAAAAACTACGAAGGAAGGAAGAAAGGGATTTAAAGGAGCAAAAATAAGACACCCTACTTCTCAACAGAAATGATGAAAGCCAAAATTGAAAGAAAGTAACTGCCAACCTGGAGTGTCTAGCAAAAATAGCCACAAAAGTGATTTCAAAATAAAAATATTTACAACAAACAAACAATGACAAAATTCTCTGCCAAGAAGTTCCAAAGCAAAAGAAATACTAAGCAAAGTTCTTCAGGCAGTAAGAAAAGGGTTCCATAGAGAAACAAAACATAAAGGAAGGAATGGAGCAAAAGAAGGGATAAATACAGGTTAAATTTATAAAAAGAGGTAAAGCTCAGTTTTAAAAGCCTTAAGCTTATGTCTTCCAATTTGCAAAATGGCAAACTAGTATGCAAACAAGAACAACTGGTACTAATGCAAGAAACTGATGAAAATCTGTGACTATGAGAGATGGTGAAAATGATTTTCATCCCCTTACATATTTTTAAAACTTCCTTTGCATGTCTGGTACAGATTTGGGTATTCCTGGGTGGGTTTTTAAATGCAATATCAAATATAAAACATAAAAATATATCAATTGAAAAGAGGGTGTGCTTCTTACAATTACATGTTATCTCAAAATAAAATGGTTAATTAAAAACCAAATTTAAAAACAGAAGGCAAGATTGTGGCAGTCACTTATGTAACTATTTCTAATAGTATCAGAATCAATATGTGTGGCTTGGGCTAAATTTCTGAGGACAATCTCATATATATGGATTTCAAAAGTGATATATCTCAACTTTGATGGTAGTGAAGAATTGTCCTAATAAACAGTATGAGACAACAAAAAGAAACTTTAGTGATGAGAAAGATGCTGAGATGAATTGTGAAGAATTTGAATTAAAGTGTATCATAAAGCAGGTATTTCTAAATGATATGTTATTCTTTAAATGTGTGTGCAAATAAATTAACAAAATAAGTGTCAGTAGACCACTGACACTTTTGGCTATATCCATAAAGATTTACACATTCAAGTTGGCCCAAAGCTTTAACTTATGTTTTCAACTTCTCTTTGGGAAACTGGGGAAATCTCCCTATATTTGTAATCACCTTACATTCATGTATATGTGGTAAAACATAGCCCACCATACCCTACCTCATGGTTTGCCTAGCATCCCTGAGAACCAAAGCAAAGTGCTTGGTTCTCTGGGAAATTACTCCTTTAAGAGAAGTGTTGACTTCCACAGAGATGAACATCCAACCGCCTCTTTTTCTCAGCAACACTGTAACCAGATTTATGGTTTGGTCTGGTAGCATCTATAGGACCCTCCCTCCTGCAAAAGGAAAGGCAGGGCTTTTGCTGGAGTCACTCAGCCTGATGAGTGAAGTCACTTTGGGGAGCTGACTCTGAACTGGGATGGAACCAATCTATGGGATTGCCCTTCCCAACTTTGTCTTCTTCTGGCATTTGTTTTCCTAAAGTCTCAGCCTTTGAGGACATTCCACAAGGGGGCTCCAAGGTATGCCTTTGAGAAGAAGCAAGGAGATAAGAGTAGGTCTTGGAGAGAGGTCTGAGGGTCCCAAGCAGCATCCCATGGAGGTGGCAGGATCTTGGAGGGAAACCACTGTCCTCCAAACACAGGAATGCCCAAACTCACCAAGGATTCCCATGCCCCAAATGCATGGCAGAAGCCATAGAGCTTAAAGGGACTTCATAGCAGGCTGGATCAGAGGAGACCTCAGTGAGGACCATTGTGGACAGAGGATCAAGGCAGCAAGGGTTTTCTAGGAACTAGAAGTTAGATATAGATGGAGACCAGACCCCCAGAAATAACGGAAATAGAATTTCTCACTGTGCATGACGTACGCATACCAATTTACATACTATTTCAGGAAGTTTAAAGCCCTTCTCTCTTTCCCATAAGAGCTATTCACGAATCTCTGGTAAAGGGTCTATGCTCTATACAAAATTCTTTCTGTTTGGCTTGCTCTTTCTATTCTTCTTCACCTCCCTCTCTTCCATTTCTCAATTAAGTATCATTTATTCAGGGCCTGAAAAGGAATCTTAACAATAAAAATAACTTTGATTCGTTTTTTTAAAAGCACCTTCCATGTATCTATCTGGACATTTTACAGATTAATGCTTATATGCTTCTAATAACTCTTGCACATAGGTATTATTATTTGCTATTTTTAGATGAGAAAACTGAGGATACTTAAGGTTGTTATCTCAAGTCACAGAGCTTGTAAAAAGTCAAGGCCAGGTTCAAATCATGGCTGACTGGCTCTAGAGCTGTGGTTCTCAAATGCTGCTGAGCATTAGAATAATCTAGGGGCTATTTAAAGCCCCCATGCCTGAGCTGCACGCCACACCAATTAAATAAAAATTCATAGGGGTGGTACCTATTCACGAATATCTTTTAACTCCCCAGGCAATTCCCAAGGGCAGCAGGAAGACTGCTGCTGAGAACCAGTGTCCAAAAGCCTCTGTATCTACCTGTTGCATCACCTGCCTACAAAGCAAACCTGCGTGGGGTCTGTTGATCCCCAGTTCAGCACTTCAAGTCACCCCAAATATTTACTTTATCATTAGACAAGGAGGCAGGAACAAAACTGAGCCTAAGTTTAGGTTTAGGCTAATGATTGCCCCCACTCCTGTACCCCCGCATTACACCTCACGTTAATTTTCTCTAGTTTCTCTCTTTAATTGCATTTGGGTTTGCTGGCCCTGCAGGCTGAAAAGCTCTCCTACTTGGAAACAAGTCTTTGTCTGACCACCACTCTGGCTTTGGAGTTGCAGGGAGAAGGGCTCTTGTGTGCCACGGGAGGCTATCTCCCCCAGCTGGTGGTTGTGTGAATGATGCTCTCAAACAGTCAATTAGATGCTTTAATACTAAAGTGATTATGCCTGGCAGGGAGAGTGAAGAGCTGGCAAGAGACAGTCCTGATGGAAGCTATGCAAATGCCAGTGAAGGTGGCCCTCCTCGGGGCTAGGTGAACTGACCCCCTCTGCCAGGTACACTCATCGGGGCTTGTCACAATCAGGGTCCTACACTCCAAAGGATGAGCCAAAAATGTGCCTTTGTCATGGGCACAAACCTATCACAATGAGGGCCTATCTCTTCACGCCTCCTTGGCAGCCACAGATGAAGAATTAAGAGGGGTGGGTGATGGGGCATGATGGCTAAAAGCAGGTGATACGGGGGTGCAACTAGGCCTGGGTTCAAACCCTGCCTCTATCATTTACCAGCTGTGTGACCAGAACAAGTTTCCTAACCTCTTAAAGTTTCAGTTTCCTTGTTATGAAATGGAGGTAATTATAGCATCTTTCCCATGGGTATTTCGGGAGAATTCAATGAAATGATGCATATAAAGCACTTAGTGCAGCGCCAAGCCAAGGTATCCAATGAATGTTAATGTACTTTTACATATAACAAAAGCCAAATACCTACTATAAGTTAGCACTGAGGCTCCACAGTCACCCATATTGCTCAACTGATCTCTACTTAGAGTAAGAATAGAGGTTCAGGCTCGGGCCTCAAGATTATGCTATAAGAGAGGGTAACTTTTATAGCGAGGCCAAGCCAAAAGAGTTAGAAGTCGGTCAACTGGCCACCTAAATGTTGCCAACTTGCAAAGAAGGACCATTAAGGCTGAGGTAGATTAAGTGAGGTCTATGCATGAAGCAGCTCCAGGTCTCAGGCACTTCTGACTCATGTTACATTTCCCCATGAGAATAACACAATGTTAGTACTAGGTGGGATCTTACGGGTCATCTTATACAAAATCCTCATTTTGCAATTGAAGAAACTGAAGCCCAGAGGACAAGGACCTGCCCAAGGCCTCACATCAGTACCTGGCAGCCCAGGAGGGCAATGTGGGCTTCCCAAGCCCAGAGTCAATGTTCTTTCCATGACGCCACACTGTCCCTTGTAAAATATGTGCATAACAGATTAGCATTGATAGTGCTAATCACTTCTGGTCACTCCAACCACTGGCAATGTATTACCATGTGCCAAGATAAAAAGAACAATATAATTAGGTATTTAGATAATTTAGAACTTAGACTTTAGAGGTCAGATTCCTGGACACGGTTCTGCTCCTAACAAGCTGGGGAGACATTTGACTCCTTTGAGATTCTCTATCCTTTAGGATAGAAAGTGGCACACTTTTTCAGTAAAGGGCCAGACGAGTAAACATTTAGGCTTTCCAGGCAACATCGTCTCTGCTGCAGCTACTCAATCTGCTGTGGTAGCAGCAATGCAGCCACAGACCAGATATAAAGGAATTTATGAGGCTGAGCTCCAACCAAACCGCAGGCGGTGGGGCCTGGTTCGGTCCTCGGGCTGCAGACTGGCCACCTCTGCTCTAGGAAATGAACTCAGCCACATCTGCCCCACTTACTTCACCTCAAAATATTTTAGAAGTAACTATATTAATTACATAAGAATAGGGAAGCCTTGGTTTGACGATAGTTTGAAAAAAAAAAGTGATCTAGATTTTAGTTATTATACACATCATGCAAACCAAGACTTTATTACACATATGAAATATAATGTAGATATTGAAAGATGAATGTAGTTGTAGATTATTTTAGGAGAAAAACAGCATCTAGGTCATAAGAAGAAATTATCCCAATATAATCTCCAACTCATGTGATTATGAACACATTTCTTTCTGAGAGTCCATTTTAAGGAGATTATTAACACATTTGGTAGTATCCCCTGGAGGAGAAATTAGGATGTTGAGAGTAAAATTATGTTGGAATGGCAAAAAAAAGGATAAGACTGATCCAGACAGCAGAACAAGAGCCAATTGGTAGAAGCCAAAAGAAGGCAGACATCATTTCAACAAACTAACTTCCTGAGGGTTGGAATTACGCAGTTAATGAGCTACCTCACACACAGTGAGAATATTCAGAATATTCCCATCAGTGGGAATATTCAAGGAAAAGCTGGCCTCTCAAGGACGTGGTATAAGACTTTAAAAAAGCAGGTCAGCTAAATGACCTTGACAATTCCTTTTCGGATCTAAAATTCTAGGTGTCTATAAAATGAGCTCTGGATAGAAAGCGCTATGCAGACTTGATGTGCAAGACACCGAGAGCCTTCGGTGATCCTAGGTAAACCCTCTCTTACCTACAATCCCCAGGACAGTGAAAAGTTCCTCAGCCTTCCCAGTTCCCACTCAGACCAGCCTCACCACAGCCCACCCGGCTCACTTTCCAGCGTGAGGACTTCAGGAGGTGTGCGCGGGGGACCCAGGGAACACTGAAAGGGCAGGCTGCCTTCTTGGTTCTTGCCTCAAGTTCAGCTTGATCTTGTGTTGGGGCCAAAAAGAAATTTCAGTAACTGGATTATAGGTAAAAAGGTGGAATTGAAGAGCTGTGTCACTTAGAAAAATAGCTAGTTATTCAAAGGCAGATCATAGGAAGGAGAGAGGGGGAAAGAAAGGTTTGGAAGGAGAACAGTATTCCCCCAGCCTTCCTTAGACACTGCCCAAAATCAAGCATCTCTCAGCCCTGAGTCTGGAGCTGAGAGGAAGGTCCCACCCCTCGCCCGCAGTTACCCACTGCTCAAAGAGCCATTGCTACTGACTTTGAGTGTTTCAGTAAAGGAGCTGAGTGTCTTACCCTTCGCGTTCATCATCCGTGTTGTAATACACCTGTGGAACAAAACAATAGGCTTACTGTAGGTCCTAGACAAGAAATGGAAATATACTACGTGATGCACAGACTTTCCTAAGGCATTACACTGTCTCATAAAAAAGACGAATCTATTTAATGATGCTGTGTGTGTGTGTGTGTGTGTGTGTGTGTGTGTGTGAGTGTGTCTAAGGAAATACAAATTTAACCTCCTCACAGTCTCCCTAGGGTTAATTCTTATATTTTAATACAAAATTGGAAATCTGATTATTTCCAGTTCAAGTCAGTCTGGTAAGATTACCTATAGCCCTAAGCCAAATCTTGCTTTTGATGATAAGGGAATATTTTAGCAGGATCTAAAAATCATTGTTTAGAAAGGCCCTACAGCAGGGCCTGTGACTAGGCAATCCCATCCGATCCACAGGTGAGCTGACACCAGGCAAGGTGCTTAGGTGACGGGAGGGGAGCAAAAGTGTCCCATGGCGGTGCAACATTAACCCCAGACCTCCGTGTATTCCCCAGAGGGGCCTGGGTTACCCTGGCATCCAGCATCGGTATTCTGAATGGCCAAAGAAAGGTCTTTGAGAAAAAACGCTAGATGGTCAGCATGGCCTCAAGCAGAATCAGAATTAAAGCAAGTGTGAAGCATTCTCATTATTTTATAAAACAACAAGAGAAAGCCAGAGGGGATCCACTATGTACGTAAGTCCTCTTAGCCCAATTATTTATAAAAATTAATTGTGGATCTTTCATGAGCTTTATCGGTGTGCTTTAGGAACATTTTCATTTGAGAAAAGAATAATACCCACGTTAGTATTGGACACTTAACATATTAACTTCAAAAGTTGCCTCTAGTTCTAGTACATTTTGTCACTGTCCTGCCCCAGCCACCTGGGAGAGAAACAGCTGTGCCTAGACAGACAGCCTCCCTACAAACACTCTCAAAGGCTCTTAGTGGTTCCTGGGGCCCCGCCAAGCCTAGATTGAGTTATATAACAGAGCTGGCTACCTGGAACTCTTTGAGAATGAGTCATTCTAGTCATTAGCTCAGATTTCCACAGGGAACTTTTCCCTCTTAAGTTTTTTATGTCTATTGTTGTATTGCATACTTTGTTTCTTCTTAAACAGAAAACAATGAAGGTAAGATGTTCCCTCCCCAGCAGCCCAAGTTTCAGCGTGGAGCATCTGTCGTTGTGATATACTAGAAACGGGACCGTCCATCTAGATGCATATGGATTGACAATGACCCCCATGGGTGAGGGAGCCTGGGTCGCAGTACTGACCACACAACTGGATTTTGCGGGGGAAAGTTCCTGACGTTGGCCTGTGTTTTGCTGGATTCTCTAAACGTAGCATTATGCAGCTGCCCTGCCTGGCTATATGGCAGAGTAAGGGACAGCTCTCCGCAAAGTTGGCTGGTAACGCAAAGATGGAAGCGGCCTTCTCTTACGTGTTTTCTGGCCCTCCTGAATGGCCTCCACTACACGGTCCCTATCACTGTGCTTGCATCATGACTTCTCTTCCTCTCACATAATGACTCACGGTTTCTTCCTTGTCAGTTGTAGGATTCATTGCACTAATTTAATTTTTCGAGGCTGTTTCTCAAACTTTAGCATGCATAAAAAATATCTGGAGACCTTGTCATAAACGCTAATTCCTGGAACACCCTTCAGAGAGCTTAATTCCAAAGACCTGGAATGGAACTTGGGAGCCTGAATTCTTACCAGCAACTCCTGTGATTTGGCGGAAGATTGCTTACCAACCAAAACTGGGGAGACTGTTTCTGATGGTGTGAGAAAGGAGCAGTGCCCTCCTTGGGTTCAAGGGCTTTGAGGAAGGCAGATACCTGCAGAGTATTATCCAGAAAGAGGATGGCTCTGCAATCCCACATTTCTCCCCAGGCTCCCTTATCCCTCGTTTTTAAAGGAATTCCAGACAAAAGCTGCAGTGAATAAATAACAGGGCTGTTCTGTGAGGAGGAGGAGGCCGAAGGTCTCCACAGCGCTTGCGCAGTGGCTTCCTTCCCTCGTATTAGTTTTTGATAATTGTCTGATGGATATTCCAACCCACATGTGAGTCAGTGAGATCACGCGGGAGGAGGGTACATGTGGGCTTACAGAGAAAATCCCCACTCCCCACTCTGTGTCTTTGGGTGACTAAGAGTCACTGCACCATGGCTGCTGAGCCATCAGCATGGCTTAAGTGTATCTCGCGGACTGTGAACTAGAGGGCTGCCCGCCCTGCAGTTGGGCAGAGCTGCGACGTGGCTGGTTCTAACAAGACTCGCGCCTGCAGTGGCCATTGGGCAGCACACTCTCACTTGTCTCCCTCCCCTCCCCCACCCCAACCCCCATGGTAAAACCGGCCCATCTTTTTTGACCTGCCACTGCTGGTTCTTGTTTTGCATGTCAACACCTGCCAACTCCTGCCCCATGTCCACTTCGAATCCTATGGCACTACCATCTTCCCTCCTGTTGGTGGACCCGTCTCCTACGCTTCTAGCTCTTCTAAGAAACAGCAGCTTTTAAAGAACCAACAGCCATAGTAGGTGCGCCTTTCCTCCGCCAAGCAGGTTGACCAGCCACAGCATATTCCCGCATGGTTCCAGGGCACAGCTGAATGTGTGTCTTTGTTGCCTGAAGCTCAGGCAGGCTCCCCCACTGACTCCTTAGTTCTTAGTCCAAGGGCACAGGGAAAGGCCCGGGGCTCTGAGAGGGTGGTTCCCAGGAAGGATGGCAATGGCCTGGGGGCGGGGGCTGATGTGGCTGCTTTGCAGCTGCTAAAACCAACTAACTATAGAGGCTGCGCTCTCCCTCTGATTCAGCCACAGGCTAGGAGCGCAGCCCAGGACACAGGGGGGCAAGTGAGGCCGGAAGACTGAGCCTCAGGAGAAGCCAGGTTGGGTCACTTTTTGTCCTAAAGTTTATTTACAGCTTTTTACATTTCAGAGAAATGTTGCCAAGAGAATAATAGGTCAGACTGTCATGGAGCTGAAGCCAGAATCATGACAGAAACAATAAGAGCAATTTAATTCAACTCTCCCCTCTTCTCAGGTGTGAAAACCTGGCTCCATAAAATCTCATGCAACAAAGACTGTCAATACGCAAATCACCACCATGTTCCTGGGAATTAAAAAATACAATAAAATTTGGTGCGGGCCCTCATATCTTGATAAATCATAACATTCTTCCTTTCCCTTTTGTGTCCTTATGCCTATCAACTAGACAAGATGGGAATGCTAAATTAGTTTTGAGAGGAATGCGTTCTGAGAAAAAGCTATGGGTGTTTTGTCACCATGTTGTGTCATAGCATCAACAAGAAGCCCTGCTTGTATAACTGCTATGTCTCATATACATCAAAAACAACACTAGGGGACAAAATATTCTCATGTACATCTTTTTTTCTTTTTCTTTTTTTTTTTTTTAGCTGAGCCATCCTGCTACCTGTTGGTAGCTCAGCGGCTGCTCAGCTCGGGCTAGACTCGAACCGCTATTGATCAGAGCTCAAACTCTTGAGCGAGTTCTTAACCAACTGAGCCACTCGGCCGGCCCAGACAAAATATTCTCAAACAGAGAAAGTGACGCCAATTTTGACTTCTCCTCTCAGCCGAAGGTCAAATCCAATGAGTGCATCATTATGCCCCCATTTCTCAAAACAGACCTTTCCTCAAAGGACTTTGGGTTTAAAAGAAAACTAACCAATGCAAGATTCACCGAAACTCAGCAGGTTTGGTGAAAGACAATTCTGGCTAATGCTAAGGAAGTAATTATTTTTTTTTATTTTTTTCACACATCTTTATCACATAAAATAAATAATACTAAAGATACAACAAGAAGAAAAAACTCATCCATATATCATAACCCTACTCATAAAGTGTTATAATTTTTCTTGTTCCCTTCAAGTTCAAATATATATTTGGAATCGCTGTATAGAACACTTTTTTTCAGTAAACATTATCATAAGTAGTTCCCATGTTGCTACATAGTTTCCATAATTATAATTTTCGTGGCCCCATAATATTCCATCAACTTGAGCTACCACAATGAGTTAATTATTAGATGCATATGTTATTTCAATATTAGCTCTTTCATTTCACCTCTAGACATACTTAGAAGACAGGAATTGTTTTTTTAAAAAAAGGCTTGCCTACAATCCCGTTTTCCTTTCAGTGTAAAGTTACTTACCTACCCAATGGGAGCTGTTAATTTACTATGGGAAAAACTATTAACAGGGTTTATTTAATCACAGCATTTTTCTTCTTGTGCTCCTTTATGAAATTATAGCCGCAGTTCAATTTCCCACCATTAGGTGGAGCTCTACTTCATCAGGCTAATCCCACATGACAAAACTAAAACAACAAAACTTACAGGTAGGTTATCAGCCTTCTTACTTTCTTCCTCTTTCACTGCTTTGTCAACAGCTCGCTAATGCCAGCTCATTCTCTTCTTCTTCCCCTTAGTAAGTCAGCTTCCTTCTCTGAGACATTCCTTTCTATAAAAATCTTATTTTCTGTAGAGAACGCCTGATTCTTTGTTGAAGGCATGGGGTGTGGGTTTTATTTTTAAGGCCTGAAGTGATTTTATCTTAAGGCCCTACCAGCCTCACAGATGAATGGCTCTTAGCAGGTAGGTCATACCTGTCCTGTCCTCTGCAGGTTTGCAAAGTGGACGTCAGGAATGAAGAGGACAGGCTGCGAGTGCAGATCAGGCATCGTTTTGAAATAGGTGATGTCACTCTTCTTCTGTAAAGGTATCGCCGCCAACTTCCCATCTGAGGCTGGACATGATCGAAAACCCAAAAAGGAGAGGGTTATGCAGAATTAAGAACTCTCAACTGTAAGGTCTGGTCTCAGCTAAACTTCAGGACTTGCTCCGACGAAGCTTTCCAAATGCCACAGACGTGAACACACTGTAGAGGCCCCCGCCTCTCCCTCTGCCAAACCAACAGAAAAAGCTCACTTGGAGTGAGCCCTCCTGAGGCAGAGTTCCGGTCCCCTCACATCCTCCTGACCCTCTCTGTGTCCTAGATTCCTTGCCTGTAGAAGGAAAGCATTGGTCTCCATGATATTACAAAGTCTCTCCTAGCTCAAACACTGTGATCACTGAATCTGTATGCTTTTCACAGGGACAGGTCAACCTGTCTCCACTGCTAGGGAAAAGCAAGCTATCCTTTGCATGGCTGGAGGTTTACCTGCAGTTCACTACTTTCCATTCGTTCCCCCATGGACCCTGTGGAGCCCACCCCTTCTCCAAGGCACTCACAGTTGTTGCACTGGGTTTGGGAGGCCTGGCCTTTCCCCTTCTTCCTGTTCTGCTTCCTCTCTTCATCTCGGATTTTTCTTTCTGCTCCCTGACAGGGAAAAACAAATACAGACAACGCAGGGTATGTTATCAGAGCATGCGCAGTTACTGTCCGCACATAAATCACAGGGATAAGAAACAAAACAAGGGGAGGAGGAGAGGGGGCAACCCCATTTCCATCCCTCTGGCGAGGTTGTTCTCAGTTCTGATGATCTCAGGTCACTCATTCGTCTACACCACATTTCTGACTCCCAAGTGACCTCACTTCTCCCATGTTTCCCCCCTTTTTACTATCTTGGCTATTTACACAACTTCAATTTTGAATGCATACAGAAAGACCAGACCCAGTTCCCAGTTCCCTACCCCACTGAAGCCAGGTAAGTAACTTTTAGTGTTTTTATGATACAATGTCCTAAGGTGAAGCACTGGCCCGTTAGTATCATTCCTAGGCACAGAGAGGGTATTAAAGTTGAGTGTGAATTCCCTACAAAAGTTTTCCTTTGCTCATTGTTATGGAACTTTTCAAAACCATTACAGTAGTGTAATTTAGGGACGGCATAAGGAAACTATACAGGATACAAGATCACTTTGTACATACAGGTAGGATTTTGTGTTTTGTTTTAATATGTTTGTGTGGTCTTGGCGACGGTGCTCATTGAATCAAATAGAAAAAAGTTTGGCCTATTCACCTTTCTACTCCTCTGTTTCTTGTAATCTGACCTTTTCATTGGTTTTTCTTGCCAGGCCCCATGCTACTTAACCAGTTCTCCATCACCTTCTATCTCTTTCCTTCTCGGACTTCGAGGGTTTTTTGATTATCCTCTTCTCTCTTTGGTCAGTCTTCTATGTCAGCTTTGCTAACTCAGTCTACTTTTCTCACCCCCCAAATACAGCTGCTCCAACAGTTTCCTTTTCCTTTCTCCACCTCCTTTCTTGCTGTAGAAGAATTCATCTGCACCGGTGTTTTCATGATGCTCTAGACAGGTGACAACCAGATGTTTACCCCCAATCCTAAACTCCTTCCCCAGGCTTCAGATCTGCATTTACAGTTCCTGCCCTTTGTGGCTGCACATTTAAGGAGCACTGAAGCACCAACTGGCCAGCAACTTCGAACTCTTTAGAAACTGCCTCCCAAATCATCACACACAAAAGAGAGATCTGATAATACTAAAATGTAATCTTTCTATTGTGCAAGAAAACCAATTAAAAGGCAAAGGACAAATTGGTGAAAATACTTGCAATAAAACATCATCAAGGGCCGGCCGAGTGGCGCGATGGTTAAGAACTGGCTTGGGAC